GATGCGCGGGCCGGGTGGGCGTGCTCAGCGCCGGAGAGGTGTGTCCAGATTTAAGGAGGAGGAGGGGTCTGCGCGAGGCGAGGTGGGGGCAGCTCTGCGCGCCGCCGGCGAGCGGCGGAGGCGAGGGAGGAGGATTTTTAAAAGGCGCCGCGCGGGGCCGCTTTCGCGTGCGATACGCTGCGGGCAGGGCCTCCGCGCTTTGCGGCGTACTCGCGACCGCGCACGCGCCATGGCCGCGCGCCGTCACTCTGCGGCTGCCAGAGCTCCCGAGTGGGCCATCCACTTGCGTATTTCTTCACTTTTAGCATATCATTTCGGCATTGTAAAAATACCTGACTGTCATCAAACGACAATATCAATCCATATGAGCATAACTTCGGGAATCTCAAAATGAAAAGCATACAAATCACAACTGTGCTGTGAAACTAGCTGCGTGTAAGTTTCTGTTCTCGAATTTCTATTTCATTTCATGTAGTGTAATCCTGAATCATAAATGTTTCTGAACAAAATTTATTTCGTCTTCTGAAAGTGGACAGAAACCTTTCAGAGAAAAAAATAAAAAATGAGAGTGGTGAAATCATAGCATATAATTAAAGGTGAAATGAGTTGAGTTGAGACACGCTTCGATTTTTGCAACTGAAATTTGCGTATAAAGGAAGCACCAATTAGAGCACCAGGAATTTGTTTTATTGTTTAGGACTGTAAGTTGTTCAGGTTCTTAGTGAAATGTTTAGGAAGATTAGAGAGATATAATGAATGTTTTTCGGTATTTGCCAGTATTTTTCGCAGTTATTTGAGTATTTATTCTTAAAGAAACATACTTGTTTTTGTGCTTGTCTCGTGACTATACATTTCTGCGTGAGGATAGACAACCTTAGCAGACGCGGGAAATTTATTGAAGCAAATGGAAGGGAATTGTATATTTATAGCGATTCTTAATATTCAATATAAAACCACAGCTTCTTAAGGACGATTCAAAGATTGTGTGTCAGTACTCGCGAATAATTTATTACAAATTCATTATCGTATTTCTTATTATATTCATATATATATATATATATATATATATATATATATATATATATAAATCATTCTTTTTATAGAAACATATTTTAAACATGCTATGCTTACGTATTACCTCAAATGTTTCATAGGTGTTTGAACAGTGTTTTTACGAATCAAAATTACTTCACTGATTACACATGTTAATTTAAATGACATCTTTCTTTTTTTTATCCTTCTTACGTATTGAAAATTATATGTAAATTGACCTTAATGCAACGACGCTTGACGTAGACAGATTTTGGCAGTACATATCCCGCACTACAAGTTTATTTTTTTGAACTTGTACATTATACAATTCAGGAATCATTCTCGTCAATAATCGTGACACAAGGAAATTACTTTATCAATATATCAGTTCATATTATCAGAAAATACAGATTACCGATTACAGATACAGATTAACCGATTACATTATCGAATTATATATCATTTAGGATTATCAACAATGAATATAACACTTTCCAACACTGGCGTTGCTGCTGGGGTTTCTCTGAAATGTGGTTGGTCTTACTGATCAAAACTTCAGGGTAACATTTTTAGTAGTTTTTTTTTTTGGCCGCGGGTGAATGAAAAAGAACCAACCTTGCTGTGCTTAATGTTCTGCACGTGTGCGGATGACTGGTGTATTTATTCATTGACACTGGAAATGACGCGCAACAGACCGAAAGTGTAAAAAGCCAATGACGTTTTTAACGGATGTTGTTAAAATCTTTCAAATTCAGATCAGCTCGATTCCCATTTCCGGGGATGCGTTGCATGTTCCATTTGTGCATATTAAACATGCAAATAAATCGCAAAAACACGGGGATGAACTATATTATTCACTCTCTTTGTAAATGCTTTGTGTGCTTCATAAAACTAAACAAAACTGTTTTAAATTTTCAGTGTTTAATGCACTTTTCGATTATTTTGTCCCTAATTACTCACTTCTGTATTTGTTAAGATAATTCGTAATTTCTTTTACTTGTCATAAAGTAGACGATTGTTTTGCTTTTTATAATGTTTTGCTTGTATTATCTTTTGTAAAAATTAAATATTATTCCAAAACTGTAAAATTTACAAACACAATGAAAACTAATACATTATTATATTTATTATCATTATTATTATTATTATTATTATTATTATTATTATTATTATTATTATTATTATTATTATTATTATTATATTTTTACAAAAATAAATTTAGGATGAGTTAAAATGCATTCATAATAAATAAAAAGCGATGAATCTCTGAAAACAATTGATTTCAATTGATACATTTCTGTGATCAGTTCTTTCTTGTGAACTCGCAGTGTTATAGTGAAGTCGAATATTTTCCACATCATCTTTGTTAGTCACGAAATAATAGATGTTTTGCCTTTTTTCTGGTTTCACTAGCTGTTGAAAAAAATAACATTTTGCTTAGTAGATTTTGTTGCCACATGTCATAGTTTCAAATTAAAATAAAGGGCAAAGGGCAATTGATTGACAAAGCTAATCAGTAATATCTGAGATATGAGATTTTAGAGCAATACAAGTTATAACTCTCACTTATTAAAAACATTTACATCGTACCAATAGATGTTGTTCACTTGGTAAAACACGACCAGCGATATGACAATAACATGTCTATGATTATTCTTGTTAAGCGAAGTTTAGTCGATCAGACTCAGCTAACCTGCTTACATAGTACCCACAAGAAGAAGTGTTTTATACCAGTTGTGCCTCTTATCAAATTATATATCAAATACACGAGCAGCAGATCCGTTGCGACAACGAGGATTCGTGTGATTACCTTGTAAATTAACAGAACAATGAGCCTGCCAACACTTACAAACTTAGTTCTTGTTATCTAACCACGATTGGGAGGTTGATATGCCGTAACTTTGTCATCAGATACAAACAACTCATTAGACCGAGCCTTAAAGGTGTTATTCGCAGGTTTATTATTTTAAATATTGAAAATAGATTACTTAATTTTCGACAATTAAAAATATAAGTATATATCCGAAAAAAGTGTTCTCTTCACTTCTGTTTTGTGTTCACACAGAAACAATAACACAAAAAAACGTTCAATTTCTAATATCAGCATCAACTATCCTATATTTCAGGGATCCACACACATAATATTCTAGACATCTTTCTGATTGAATGTCTGTGTTTCACTGAAGTCTACCCAGAAAGTTCATGAAATGGTAAAACAAGGATTTTAATGTAAAAATACATGTACTTTTATCTTGTCGAAATGACATTCTTGAAGATTGCAATGTTTTGTCTGTCATTTTGCACAATTGCTCCTTTTTATTAAAAAATCATAACTATTTTTTATTAAGGAGGTTTCTTGTGTAGATCAGATGTTTACAAGAATTATACAGTAAATAACCTAATTTAATTTACATCAGCTTTACTCGGAGGGAGGTAACTACCTCTAAAAGCCTCATTTTTAATGTCGTGAATGGAGTGGTGAGGAAACACGATTATAGCAAGTTGGAAAATACTACAGTTTGATTAAACAAGAAAATATACTCGTAATGGGAAAGGGGAGGAATTTGACATTGGATTTAATTCTTATTTCTTGATTGTAGGATTTTCCAAGAAGGAAATCAGTAATCTGGGGGAATAGGGAAGAGGGTGATTGGAAAGTAACAGCACGACAGAAAAAAATACTTGAAAGATGAGAGACGAAATTCGGCTATTGTGAGCAGATCGAATTCAATGTATGATTATTAACAGAAACGAACAAAGGAGCTTTTGCTGCATCACGGGTTATCTTATTCTGAAACACCTTCTGCAGTTATGTACAGAAAGAGTAGCACATCCACTGATGATACGAGGGTTGGCTTTTATATTTCAGGATTAGAGAACAAAAACAAATATTAATCATCGAAAATCACATTATTGTTTTTCAATATATTCCCCATGAAGATCTATACACTTTTGCATGCGTTTGAACCAATTGTCGAAGCACTTTGGCCACTCTGATTGAGGTATCTCCAAAACATGCATTCTGAATGCAGCAACCGCTTCTTCAGGTGTCGAAAAACGTTGACCTCTCAGTTTGTTTTTTACGTACGGGAATAAAAAGAAGTCATTCGGTGCCAAGTCAGGACTATACGGCGGATGACTCATCAAATCGATGTTTTGAGTGCTCAAAAATGCAGTTTTTTCTGCCGATGTGTGAGAGCTCGCATTGTCGTGGTGAAGAGTGATCCGTCTTCGGCGGTTGGTTTTCCTGATTTCTTGGACGATAGCAAGCAAACAAATCGTTGTGTACCACTAAGAATTGACTGTTCTGGGTTGTTTTAGTGGTACGGTTGCGATGTGTCTAGTTTTTTCGAAAAAACAGGCGATTATCTGTTTGG